ACTATTGTGCGCCTACTTCGGAGCGGCGCAGCGGGGGCACGTGTACGTTGTTTCACCGTCGTCCTCTGGGGTCGGCAGGTGAAGCGCACTTGCTGGGGGTGGTTCATCCGTGGGTGTCCCGTCTCTTCTTTTCTTCCCACCCCCCTTGTTTTTTTTCTTTCCTTAATAAATTCCTTCAGTGCTCATTTCCCGTGTTAGCTTGTACTTGTCCTCGCTAGTAGTGCACGTATATGCGCGCGTTTAACCTTTCAATACCCGATGCATGCAATGCCTCGACATCTTTTCCTAAATGTGAAAATATTGTCGCAGAACCAATATACAGGGTGCTTTCATTTTTTTCACGACACAGGTTTTTTATAAAAAATTTATGACTGTAAAGGTTCTGTCATTTTTGCACAGTAACATGCACTACAACTTTCTGATAAACGTAGTCACCTTCAAGTCAATACTTACTAGGTTAATTAACAAGTTCTTGCTAATTAGTTGCAGCAGGGCAAAGTATTTTCGCCTCAACATTGAGCTCGTATGCGAAAGTGACTGGAACCTTACGGTCATAGGATTTTTATTAAAAAATCTGCATTGCCTGAAAAAAATAAAGAAAACCATTCTATTTGCGGTTTTACTTTTTAAATACTGCACTGGTAATAACAGCTGTAGACGGTTGAGCTAACCAGCTGCTATAGTTAGGTACTATTAAAAACTTCAATAAAATTTACCTGCCTCAGCGGCTTCAGTGGCCTACTGGCTGCAGAGTGTGAGGCCGTGTTTTATATCCAACCGTGACACAAAAACTGCATTTCCGTGAAGACGAAATGCAAACAAACTTGTGTTACTTTATGTCTACAAGCATGTATAAAAAAATGAGAAATGGAAAGACAGGTTTTGAGAAAAATTTGTGCGGGGGCTGACACCCTTTGTAAAGTTGTTTGTGCCGCATGGCGCAAGTGTCTTGCACATAAGCCGCATTTACGGTGACACAATAAATGGAGGAAGCAAACCAGAAAATTGAAGGGTAAATACTCAGAAAACAGCAGGGGCCAAACCAAAGAGAACTATAGGTTAAGAAGAAGGTGAAGGAAACGGAGACCGACATGTGGAGAATAGGTGTGATTAACAAGTCTGCACTAGAGATCTATCGAACCTATATGCAGGAAATTGCCAAGGAAAGAGTCTATGATAATGCTCGGTGTAGTTATCTAATGTTTGAGGGTCAGAACCGGAGTATGGGGAACCACGACTTATCAGGCCAAATATGAAAGGGTAGACACGGTATGCAGTACACGTGGAGAGGAGGAGAAAACCTGATAATGTTCTGTAAAGAGCTTCACCCTATAATTCAGAATGATGGCGCAGAGTTTTTCAAAGCACTGGGGCTTAAGGACAGGGAGGGCAAAATAGACTTTGATTGATATGTGGGGTTTAATGTTCCAAAACCACCATACAATTATGAGAGACGCTAAAGTCGAGGGCTCCAGAAATTTCCACCACCTGGGGTTCTTTAATGTGTACTTAAATCTGAGCACACGGGCCTACAACATTTCTGCCTCCATCGGAAATGCAGCCCTCGCAGCCGGGATTGATCCTGCGACCTGCAGGTCAGCAGCAGAGTGTCTTAGCCACTAGGCAATCGCGCAGGGGCAGACTTTAAGCGGGTAGAAATAACTAAAAGGAGTTTATCTGATTGGTGGCTACAATCAAGGCATGAGTGAAAATTAAATCCTTCACTGCAAATGCCTTTTCTTCACTATTTGAAAGGGGAAAAAGGTAATAAATCTAGTTTTTACTCACTAAGTATTACAGCTAGGTGGCGTTAGCTGCCGCCCGATCTAAAGGGTACAGCCATATCAATCCATCCATCCATTTATCACTGCCCCGCCGTGGTGGTCTAGTGGCTAAGGTACTCGGCTGCTGACCCGCAGGTCGCGGGAACGAATCCCAGCTGCGGCGGCTGCATTTCCAATGGAGGCGGAAATTTTGTAGGCCCGTGTGCTCAGATTTCGGTGCATGGTAAAGAACCTAAGGTGGTCAAAATTTCCGGGGCCCTCCACTACGGCGTCTCTCATAATCATATAGTGGTTTTGGGACGTTAAACCCCACATATCATTACCCATTTATCACAATTACCACCATCATCATCATCATGGTTGTTAGAATGTAGTAGAACGGTAGCGCCGGCGGTGACACCTGGTGGCAAGCCTGGGTGACGGCACACGAGCAAGTGGCTCTCTTTGGCGGGTGGCGGTTGGCGCGAACGGCTGGCTCTTGCGGCGGTCCTCAGCGGACAGCACCGCGGGCCGTCTGCCGTGGGCCCTCGTGGTTAGTCAAGCGTTGACAAAGCTGCCTTGAGTGCGTTCTTGTGTTTGCTACGTTGTTGAGTGTTGTTTTAGCGTGTTGACCACAATTGATATATTGTAATTTGCCTGATGATATTGTCGTTCTAAAAGCAGTTAATTAAATGTGTGTTGTTTAGTTCGTTCCCACTACGTCTACTGTATCCGTTCACTCCAAGAGCATAGAACATCGGAGTCGAGACCCCCACAAATTTTATAGCCTTCATCAGTGGTTTCTCTCAAAGCCCCATAGCTGCTTATAGAGGTTAAAATCATTGAGTCACCCTCTCAGATAATACCAGTTTTGTGTGTGTATGTGTGAGTGTGAGATGTGGCTGTATGCACACGTGTTTGTGTATATGTGTGTATGCATACACACACATGTATATTATGTGCATGTTCATAGTATCCGAATCTACTTGCTATGGTGAAAAGGAGGAAAACAACTTATACCAGTTTTCTTGATGTGCTGCTATGTTTGAGTTGCAGGGTTAATCTCACCCACGCAATAAGCCATTTGTACTTCTATTTTTCATGCACTTGAGTTCATGAGTAGAAAGCAGGCAAATCTGTAGTTTCACTGAGTTGTGCTTGATGCTCACCTAATGTGGCATTGTATGGTTTCAGGGAAGCTGTATTGTTGCAGTGGATTTTCACAGTTGTTGCTTTTATGTTTAGAAAACTTGCCTCTCGAAATTCAGGCCCCTATCTCAATATATTTTTTTTCCTCAACACTGGCATCTTATTTTATTTTATTTTATTTTGCATACTCAATGGATCGTAGCACAGCAAAGTTTTTCATTTTCAACGCATCTTTCGATGCTACATTCGTCCACTGTAGTAGCATTGATTGAAAAGTGTATGATGAGGTTTTTAATCAGTACCACAATGCCTACATCAAAAGCTTTTATTGCCTTCAACATTTGTCCTGCTGGCAACAGATGTCGTGTACCCAGCAGCGATGCTGACTGACATTAAGAAATGAGCTACAGTCAGAACAAGAAACACTTTGCTGCTCTCATTTATGTCTACATTTTCTGCCACCCCCTTTGTTATGTCTTTCTTGTTGAGCAGTTGACATTGATGCTATTGTCCTTGGCCGATAGACCCCTGTTACCTTTTAACATTGCACAGTGACATTCTGGCATTTGGCTATTTCCCATTGCAAGTATATTGATAATGATTTTTGCTGTGCTAAATGGCAAACAAACCTCGTACTCGTTCCTCAGAGAAAGAGAAGTTGAAATTACAGTTGCTTATATCCAGTGGGTCAGGAATAATTGTTAAAATTTCTGATGTTAGATTAAAAGGTGCAGGTTATTATTTGAGCACTATGTTTTTGTCTTTGTGCATTGAGCAAGGCCCTCATGCTCTTTGGGATCACCAAAGCTGAAAAAGTTTCTACGAGAGAGCACTGTGTCAGCTATTTGGAGTGCTTGACAAGACGAGTACACAAGTGCTCGTGTTATTAAAGCAGTGGCCCATGACAATCAACTCATAGCAAATGGAAGAAAGATGTAACACTACCTTGTGCAATTCTTATACAGTAGACTCTCAATAATTCAAACTGATAATTCAAACTTTTGGCTAATTCAAACAAAATTCAATTTTTGGTTGGCCCTCTATTCTTTCGATGTATATAAAAGCCTCTTAATTCAAACTCCATCATTCGGTTAATTCGCACTTTTTTCAGCTTCATGCCAGAAAATGTCAGTTGCTTTCCCATTACTATTTCAAAAATTTGTGTGCTTATATAATCCTAACAGTCTATAAATGTGAAATAAGCACCTGAGGCCTTCAAGGAAAAAATCACATCATATCCACGGAGTAAATTATGATGAGTAGGGCGAAGCGTATGTCAGCCCGTCTGTGCTTCTGTCCGTTCGTTCTTGCTTCTGTGTGTCTGTACGACCATCCGTGCATCCATCCATGCATCCGTCCATCCGTTCATCTGTCCGGCCGTTCATGCATCCATCCGTCCGCGCATTCGTCCATCTGCCTGCTAGTCCGTCCGTCCGTACGTCTGTCCGTGCATCCATCTAGTGAATACTCCAAGTACTGCCGTTTCGCATCTCGCATCCCCTGTGGCACGTACCCGCTCTAGTGTGAGTATGTGCCACTGGTGGCTGCCTACTACTACATAAATCAGAGGATGTACAGACCCATGCCTTAAGGATCTTCGCCCCTAAAAGGCTTTGCAAGTAAACAAATTTTTGAAGCAAAGCAGACGCATGGTAAACCATGATGCTCCTCAACTGGTATTGAGAGCTTCGTGCTGAAGGCACATACTTATAGCAATGAAGCAGTTGGCAATATATGATTTCTTTAAAAGCTCTGATCAGCAGTAAATGGCCATGGCCAGTGAACTTGTCGACTTTACACTCCTGCTTTTTGTTCACTGTGTGCAGTTAGGGCTTAAAAAGACTTCAAAAATTTTTAAATGTGATAAAATCAATGCCTAATCATAATGCGTGGTGTCACGCCACCCAGAGTCATCTATGTGAGAGCTTCTGGCAGTAATTTGTTACATGGATATGTAGTGTGACATTGCAGTACAACTTGCTCATAGTGATAGCAATTGTGAGCGCAACAATTCTAAACTAATTACGTTACCTGTAGCATGCTACGTATTGTCTTGTGCTGGGTTTACATTTCCTTGGTCTTTTGCAGAACACGTCTTCCAGTGCCCATGTTCTCAAAGAACGACTTCAGCCTATGGAGTATCCTGAAGCAATGCATAGGCAAGGTAAGATTGAGGTTGTAAGCTTGCCAACTTGATCATATTCTCCATTCTGAGAAAAAAAAAAAACGGATGCATGCATTTCATAAAATATCACAAGTTCCTTTTTCATGCCCTGGCTTATATGGTTATGGGCACATTCCAATTAAAAGCTTGTGCATAGGCCTGCATATTTAATTTGAACAGCACTTAGCACTCGTATACTTGAGAGTTGTCCGTTACAGTGATAATGCGATACTGCGTGCAAGATGAGATAGTGAAGTGTAACAACTACTACAGTCGCCCCACCGCGATGGTCTAGTGGCTAAGGTACTCGGCTGCTGAGCCGCAAGTCGCGGGTTCGAATCCCGGCTGCGGCGGCTGCATTTCCAATAGAGGCGGAAATGTTGTAGGCCCGTGTGCTCAGATTTCGGTGCATGGTAAAGAACCCCAGGTGGTCGAAATCTCCGGAGCCCTCCACTACGGCGTCTCTCATAATCATATGGTAGTTTTGGGACGTTAAACCCCACATATCAATCAATCATCAACTATTACAGTCAAATGACCTTCATGGCTGGTGTGCCATATAAACAACCTCTGATATGCAATGCTTTTCTTTCTTATAATAATAGATGTATCAGTGGCAACCAATCTCAGCGGCTAAGAAAACAAGCAAATATTCTATATCATCTAACAGATAATTTTCCCTTTTTTTTCCAAAGCTCTGAATTGCTTAGAGGGTGGGTGATGCTTCTCGTGACTTACTCCTGTGCCTGTATTGTCTCTCTCTGTAAGAGCCGTATGGTAGGAATTAATGCACCAAATGAGCCTTATTTTTTCTATATATTGTTTTTGAATAGCCAATCTGTATGGTTTCTCCAAATTTTCTAATCTAGGACATGTGTGGTCTTACATAGAGGTCTTATCAAGTTGTTATATTTTAACTTTGTTTTTGGGATCAGCAAAATGAGAAATTGAATTTACCAGTGATGCGAACAATTGAAGAAACACCACAAGTTAATTAATTCAGCCACTTCTCCACCATTAGTTATATGTTTGTATGCCCACTGACAAGACTATACTGGTTTATATGTTGGTGTACGAAACAGAGTTCAGGAATTAGCTGAAATACTTAGTGCAGCAAACTTGTCCTATTGATAGACAAATTGTACATCAAGTTATCCAAACATAGGAGAGATTTTTGCGACTGATTGGATGCACACTGATTCGTAGTCATAGTTAATTAATTACAAACATAGGAAAGATTTTTGTGACTGATTGGATGCACACCAATTCGTAGTCATAGTTAATTAATTACATGGTATCATGCACAAAAATGATCACTTTTGCAATCATATGTAAGCTTTAATGCAATGGAAGAAAGTAGATACTCGCAGCACTTATTTATTATAAGCTCTAGCTGGCCACTTTTAAAATTTTTCCTATTATTTGCCCTGTCACGCTTGCATATTTTATCAACAGTGTCTTTAACGAAAATTTCGCAGTTTTAGTTGCATGTTTACCCTCCCAAGTTCTGTGTGTCCAGTACCCTAGATGGCGAGGCCATTTTTGTATGCATACATTCTGAGATGCCTGTCAAAAAATTTGCCTGTTTAGGCGTTATACAAAAGTGTTTCAGGTGCATTTATAATTGACTGGAATGCACACAAATTTTACATATTATCAGTGGTGTTTATGTGGACAGGGTGTATGTTTCATTTTGTATGTGATGGCACAATTACGTGTTGAGCAAAAGCTGGTCTAGAGTTATTAGGGATGCATTAATGAACTATGTGCAATACATTGTTATGTGCAATAAATGTTTCATTTGACAGTTCAGTGCTTGTTCTGTGTAGTTCTCCTTTTTTTTTGTCTCTCATTTCTTTCATGCTGTTAATTATATCACGCTAAGTAAACTTTGTTGGTTTTGTCTGCTGTACATAATAGCAGTGGTGTTGTGAGCAACAATGGATAGCTGCTTACCTCATCCTCCACTTCCACCTAGTAAGCTGCCTGCTGCGCATATTTATAGCTTTCTTCTTATTTTTGCACAGCATGGTGAATAGAACTAAAAAAGTTTGCTTGTAATTTAAGTCAGCGTCAGAACGATCGCCAAGTTCCAGAATAATCACTTCTGCCGTCATATTGTGACAAACCTAAAAAAGATTTTATGGCCGAGGTAAAGCGATCTTGTTGGTGGTTTAATATTTGCTGAGTGTAAAATGAAGGGACTGAATAGATTCTTTTTTTTTTTTGCAGACATAGAATAGCACCTTATTTGTAAAAGTTAACCAAACACAGAAAGATGTGGTGAAGCAACAAATTTCTGAGCTCATTTTAGTTTTCTGATTGCACTATCACAAACAAGTGACTGTCTTTGCCTCACAGGTGTCAGGTTAAGGAACATACTTAATAGGAGAATGGGCAGTAGTATGAGCACCTTTTCTATCCTTGGCCTTACATTCGAACTTACTTATCACGATATCATTTTTAGCAATATATCGAGGCTTGTGCGAATATTCGAATGCTTCAAATATGCGAATGAATAATGTAGTATCTGAATTCACTTTGAATTGAATTTAAGTAATTGAAGATATCGAATTATTCGAGATTAACAAATATATGCAACTAAACTGCATGCAACACTTTGTAACAGTTGTTTCACTGCAGTGGAGAGACGCTAAGCTGTAAAAGCATTTATCCAAGTGTCTTGGAAAAGTAACTTCACTGCAGTGAAGTTGTGCCGAACCGTGAAAACATGTACCCAGGAGAAAGACACACAGCTGTGAAGCTCTACTTTAATATTAAATGAACATATTACCCTCACATCGATTCATATTTATTTTATTTTTTCTGTTTAAAAGCTCATTATACCATCTTATATACTCTGAGTATAGCAAACTTGAAACGTAACATATTTTACGGGCTATCACTTGCACTGTATTGCACTATACTGAAATTCAAATCCTGCTACTATTTAAAGTTGTTTGAATTTTACACAGACTATTAGGTAGGTTAGATTAATCATGACAAATGTGTCCATTTTTCTTTGTAATAAATGATATATATACTATTCGATTCAAAATTATTCGATCGAAATTACTATGCGTGGTGAATTCGCTTCCAACCTAGAATTCACTGATTGCACAAGCCTAAATATAATGGTTATAACAATAAGATCCTGCTTCACCGTCAACTTTCGGATGTCTTCTGCAGTGAAGTATCCGCTTACTGCAACGTCTACGTGCCACATTGTTGGTTATAACAATGAATTCTGGTAGTAGGCTGTACATGCTGAAAGGTAATGGAATGCAAAATCCTTGAAAAGAAAGAAGAAATGAGAAATTCAAGCTAATGAACCCCCGCCCACAGTGGCGTAACTAGGGGGGGGCAAGGGGGTACAAGTGCCCCGGGCGCCACTAGGGAGGGGGCGCCAAGCCGAGTCCTCGGGTTGGCGCCCCCTGGAAAGGTTGTCAATGTTTTTTTCCGTAAAACCGCCTGGAAGGGGGGAGGGGCGAGGTTGTAATGTACGACTGGAAGTGGGGATGGTGGTGAAGGAAAGGGTTGCCGCAATGGCTTTTGCATCGGGAAAAGGATCCTCTATTTTCATTTTGCTGCGCTACCTCCGTGCCTTCCCATGACCCTCGGCTAAGCTTTGTTTTGTGCTCCGCAGCACTGGGTTAGATGAGTTTCAGCGAACCCCACCAGCCTCCCAAACCACTTACTGAAAGCTTCCCTGAAACCAACCACGTACGTAAACAAAATAAAATAAAAAAGTTCGAATGCACCTTTTTTGAGTAAGAACAGAAAACTCCAACGAAATAGCCGATCGTCCAACGACTAATCGTCCACGCAGCGGCGGAAGGAAGGGCGAATATAATCCGTGACCTCGGCACCAAAGGCTAAACAAAGGCGTTTATTCGCAGAGTTCTCTGGAGGAAAGACGGAGAAAGCGTGACACGACGGCGACGTTTGTTGATTCCCTGCATCGCGGGCGCCAGCAAAGCAATAGAAGGGCGGGGGTCAACGTTTCCCACATGCCATCCACCGCCATGGGCAGGTTCATCCTTTGGCCCAAAGAACACGCACCTGCGAAAAAAGCGCAGAGCGTAGTGTACCCGACAGCATGTGCCGACTGCCCCGCTTCGTACGTTGGAGAAACCAAGAACTTCCCTGAAAGAATGCGGCCGCACAAGGATGACCTCCATCAATGGAACAGCGAACGGAGCGAAACGGCAGAACACTCCGACCAGTTTAACCCCCATACCAGACCCGAGGGCGCGGTGTCTAGCTGGTTGCTTTGTTTTGTACTCACCCTGCATTCCTTGGGATGCACAAATAGCGCGAAAGCTTAGGTACGAGAAACTTGGGCCTGGGAAGCGCCCGTGCCGTCAAGATTTTTGCAGTGTGGACTGGAAGAGAACAATGACGGGTAAGGGACTTCCGGAAGTTTGAATAAAAAAAGAAAAATACTATACAAAAACGCGGGCGTAGCTCATCGAAATCAGAACTGGTGGCCCTTGGCCTCCGAAATGGCCCGCCGCGCGCCAGTAGGCAATCGCGGAAGCCTACATTAGCGCTAATAATAATAATAATATAATAATAATAATAATATTATTTAATATTATTATTATTATTATTATTAATATTATTAATATTATTATTATTATTATAATTAATATTATTATTATTATTATTATATAATAATAATAATAATAATAATAATAATAACAAACATTATCACGGGCATAATGAGGGGCGCGGAAATATATTTGCCCTGGGCGCCGTCCTATCTAGTTACGCCACTGCCCGCCCATAACGTCCCCCAGCACCCTTCTGATTTCCAGTATGCCTCATTGTTTCGTAACATTGCGGCAAAGCTGGCTTTCAAAATCCGCTTCGGCGCGGGGGGGGGTAGTGGCTTCTGTTAAAGCACTTTCAGACATGCAGTTTGAATAAAAAGTGGAGACTTGTAAGAGTTCCAGCATCTAGTAGTTCAGATGTTCTCACACATTGACTCTACAAGGCAATTGGCAGTCCCTTGGAAGCGTTCGAATTTTCGAGCATACTGATGTCTGTTGGCAAATTTAATTCAACATTATAGTTTTCTCACAATAGGCTACTGTTCTTCTATTTCGCTATTTTTATGCAAGCCGTTTATAGCAATTACCGGTTTTTGCAATGAACGTTTCGTGGCACTCGAGTATTGTTATAAGTTGACTGAATAGCCCTTTTCTGTGCAGGAGTTGTCCAAGATCACCATGCCTGTCGTGTTCAACGAGCCGTTGAGCTTCCTACAGCGCATTTCAGAGAACATGGAGTACAGCCATTTGCTCGTTCAGGCTGATGAAGCTACCGACCCCATCGACAGAATTGAGGTACGTGAGCAGTACAACAGTAATTTGTACGGCAGTGAACCTACTTTGCTATTTAATAAGGATCGTCTTATAGCTGCAATGGTTAGGTACTCATTAAAAAAAAAGTAATGTTTCAGTCATGCAGCTTTCATAGTTCTTGTTTGTGCACAGTGATGAAAACTTATAAAGCCGCATCTTATGTACACAACAGGAAATGCGATATTTATGATACAGTTAAATTCTTTGTAAGAGGCATTGATATAAGAAACAACTGGGTATAAGAGGCACTGGTGTGTCCACAGTAAAAGAATGGTTGATAAGAGAATGTATACAAGGTACCCTGTTTATAAGATACATCTCATATAAAAGACAAGAACTGCTGCTTAGAGCATGTGTCTTGAAAAGGGGTTTTACTGTACCACTAGATGTTTGATTTCATGTTCATGCGATATGCTTCATATGCTACTATAGTGCTCTACGCAAGAAGAGACCCTCAGAAACTCAACGGTGTTGTCTTGCAGCTGGTAACTGCATTTGCAGTGTCTGCACTTTCATCGAACCTCGAACGATTGAGCAAACCTTTCAACCCTCTTCTTGGTGAGACATACGAACTGGTCAGGTAAGCACTTCACTTACCATAGTTTGTAGTGATACAGCTTAGAAGTTTCCTGAAGCCTTCAAGTTCTTTTGACTGCATTTAAGACAGACACCTCAGCTCAGACATGCATAGGAAAACGATTTACTATTAGAGGTCTGCGAATATTCGGAATTTCGAGTATTCTTCGAATAGTGGTTGCTGTTTGATCACAATTCGCATTGCAATTTTATCATTCAAAGTATTGTACTTCCAAACACTAAATATAACGGTTTATAATAATGGAAAATAAGTACACTCAAACCTCATTTTAACAATGTTCTATCTTACAGCAAAATCAGTTTGTTATATCCAAAAATTCACTATAGAGACATATTTTTAACACTATATCTATTGCAAGACTATTTACTTCATTATAACCAACGTTTTGTTATAGCTAGGTATATCGAGCTTTGAGTGCATAACAACACTTAATTGGCATGCTAAACTGCCAGCTGGTACCACCTGTGCTCCAAGTGGTTGCTGCGTAACAAGCCTGGCCAAAGGGTCCGCTGCTGATGCATAAAATGCCCATTCACAGTTTTGAGGAGCCAGCACGAAGCGATTCTTTGTATGCGATGAAGCACATTATGCCTTCATCGCTATCTCATGTCCGATAGCTTTACGATCTTAGCTGCAAATTTTGAAGTGGTTGTGAGGAGAGTTAAGCCTAGCTACAACTCCAAGCAGTAAGCTTGGTCATGGTGTGCGTAGCCCAATGTTTCAGAATAGATCATGCTCGATCAGGAGCACATAGAGTAGTCTCTCGATGGTCTTCATCACAATGCATGAAATACTGACTAGCAGAACCTCTAACCACAGGTCCCTTGGAATCGTTGCTAGATGCAGTCAGTGTGGGGCACGCCTCTGCAATGTTCGCGGCAAGCACGATGCACTGTTGTAATCTGATGATTAAGCTTCCACTTGCAGCTGCCAAAATAAAGCATAAATATATTCTAAAGGATTGTTAACACGTGAAAAAAAAAAAAGGTGGGGTGCGAATGCGTCAATAAGTTGCGTGATTGTCAATAGCCGTGACCTCGCAACACTCAAACAGCGGATGAAGCTCTCCGGGAGTGGGCATCGGGCGAATTGCAAGGCGTGCTGGAGCAACATGGTACATGCAGACAATGGGAGGTATCGAAATGAAATTCAAGTGTTTGCTGATGTAAACAGCACTGACTAGATTTATGATACGCATAGAGGAGTCTTGAAGACACAACAGGAAGAAAAAAACCAAGAAAGCCTGACAGAAAAAATTAACTACAATATTGAATGTTGGATTTTTTTTTTTTGTCCTCTCTTGATAACCTGTTCCACACTCAGTATGTACCAATCGGCCTGCCAATAATTAGTGCTGCAGTTAATTTCTTCTACATCAAGTTTTCTCGGTTTTCTTTTCTATTGTGCCTTCAGGTCTCTTCTATTAATATTTGCTTTTTGTGAGTTTGTTTCTGACTGGAGAGCCTAGCTGAAGCAGGAAATTTAAAGACAAAGTAACACTCTTTTTGACTAGCCAAAATTGCAGCACCCAATTGCAATGCTACAGTGCTATACTTTTTTACTATATAATTTAGAACATGGTTAGTTATTCTCTGAAGCTTCTAACACAAAGGTGTTCAATGCCGGAGTCCACCACGGCTCCGCTGACATACTCCCGTCACGGAAGTGATGTTGAGAGATTTAAAGCAAAGTAACACTCTTTTTGACTAGCCCAAATTGCAGCACCCAATTGCAATGCTACAGTGCTATACTTTTTTACTATATAATTTAGAACATGGTTAGTTATTCTCTGAAACTTCTAACACGAAGGTGTTCAATGCCGGAGTCCACCACGGCTCCGCTGACATACTCCCGTCACGGAAGTGATGTTGAGAGATAGTATATATACTAAGAAATTGCAAAGAAAAAAACCAGAAGGCAAACATCTGTTGCGCAGAATCGAACCAGCAGCCTCTCGATTCTCAGCACGCAGTTCTAGCCACAGCGCCACAGAGCGTACATTGCCTTGAATGCAAACAGCAAGCCATTTATATACACCATACACCATTGGGCAGTTATCAGTGGCGAGATGTTGCAACAGGATCGCGTTGATTGCGCCCTAAAGGTCGTCGCCTCCACGAAGCGCCGTGTCAAAGGAGCGTGGTCTCTCCTGCGGGCACGCTTATTAGATTCGTAATTTGGGAGAGGATGAAGGTCACTTCGCACGCTGCTGCGGCCGCGTTTACGAAAGGAGCGCGCTGCTGACACACTACACAGGAAGAATTGGGACATTTGTTTGCGCTCGTCCTGTGTATACTTGTGCCCTCATTTCGTTCCTCTTTCTTTCTGTTTCAACAGCGCGCTGTAAGTGTCAAGCTGTATGTGACAGTTGTTAGTCTGCAGTCGTCCTGTGTATGCTAATTTCCTGCATGCTTTCTGCTTGAGATGTGCGCTGCAAGTTTCGAACTGCTTGTCATTCCTAACGTGACTTTGCAATTTATTTCTGTTGCTGAAACAATGCACAATGAACGCTCAACTACCTCTATGAAGACACGTTATGTCACTCTACATTGTGTCATTTATGTGAGAACGCGTGTGTTGATAAGATTCAAAAACATTCCTGTGCTAGTTGCTAAAGCAAGTTGCTAGTTCGTTGCTGTCATTTCTCATTTCTTTCATTGTGTAATAGCTTATGCTGCCCCATCGGGCGTTTTTTAGTGCCAAGAGATAAATTTATTGTGCTGTGGCAGCGGGATTAATAAACGGCACTAAGTTATCTCTATAACACATAACTGTCCCCCCCCCCCCCCCTTCTCATTCACTTTCTCTGCAGAGATGATGTGGGCTTCCGAATGGTGTGTGAACAAGTCAGCCATCACCCACCCGTGAGTGCATTCCACGCCGAATCGCCCCACTTCAAAGTGCACGGCTCGGTGTACCCGAAGCTGAAGTTCTGGGGAAAGTCTATCGAAATTAAACCTGAGGGCCACCTGACTGTGGATCTACTTTCGTGAGTACTTACTTTATGAAAAGGATAGCTTGCTTTCTGGACGATGAATGTAAGCTTGGCCCAGTGAGCTTGTGAAACTTGCATTGCTTTTATGAATCTGCTTTCACTGTAGTCGGCCTGCATATGTTTCCTTTTTCATTATGATGGCTTCTTTTTGCCCATTTTACTGGCATCCATCCTGGTTTACAGAAGGTGCATAGTACAATTCATTTGGAACGATAATCAACAAGTGGTCAGTGTCAAGCTAACAGATTAACAGAGTTGACCTTATGACATTGTAAATAGTGTCATTAGTATTCATTTCATTCAGTAGTGACGACATCGCTCTTGGTTGTCACTGTGTGGTTAATTGTTTCTTTATGCTGTTACAAGTGTTTTTTTTTCTAAACATTGGCCTGGGTTTAGTCGTAACATAGCATGCCTGACTCTTTCAAGAGAACCTTTAAAAGCAGTAAATTTTTCATCCATTGCAGGCATGGGGAGTCATATACATGGACCAATGTAAACTGCTGCATCCACAACATCATTGTGGGAAAGCTATGGTTTGAACAGGTATGCATGTGCCTGATTTGCTTCTTAGTCAGCTTTTCAGCTGTTGCAAAGTATGATTATTTTGTTTTGTTTTATTTTTTAGTACGGCGTTATGGAGATTGTTTGCCAGAAGTCTGGACTGACATCATCCCTCACTTTCAAGCAAGCTGGCTGGTTCTACAAAGATTTGCATCGGATAGAGGGATTCATTTTTGACAAGCAGTAAGTTCCCAGGTTACCGCTAGCATTTTTTAATCTTTCTCAGTATATCTGTGAGAACTAATAGCTATTCATTAGGCTTGTGTGATTAACAATGTCTTGGTTCAAACTGAATTGCTAAAATAATTGGGTTTCCGCAGAATCTTTGATGGAACAGCCTGAAGTTGATTTATCTACAAAAGCAAGTTCTTGTGAAAAAAAAATTTTATCTTGTGTATCAGTTGCTGTTTTTTTTTTTATTGTTATTACTCAACGTTCTTAGCTGCGGCATTCAGCCAATGTTGTGCAAAATCACCTCAGTGCTGTCCGCCTGCATGATAACAGGCTCACAGAATTGGTAGCCTCAAAATCCCCAAATGGTGGGTCATTGGCCGAGGGCGTGAACACTGTTTCTGCAGCCTTTAATGTGCAGCCCGACCATCAAGTCATTTGATTAACAGAAAATGTCCCACAACAGTTTCTCACCTGCTACCGTGTAGGTCAGGAGCAACATTTTAATACAGCTGCATTGTTTTTAGTTAAGTACAGTACTGAAAGTATTGCTGGTATTTCGTAGAGCGAAACCTCACACCTCCTCTTGCACCTTGTAGTTCTACCATAATTAATAATAATTATAATAATAATAATATAACAAAAACAATAATGATATAATAATAATAATAATAATAATAAAAATAATAATAATAATAATAATAATAATAATAATAACATAATTCATTCCTACAATGTTTTTTCACTATGGCATGAAAAGCGAAAAATTACCATCCCAAGAGGGTGCCCCCCCGCCCCTGCGGAAAAAATTTCTGGCTAAGCACCTGCCTATAGGTATTACAGTATGAAATTCTATGGTCCTGTCCAAAAGACAATATATGCTTACCAATGGATGAAAAAACAAAAAAAAAACAGAGAGAGAGAAAAAGGCAATAAATTGCTTCTCACAGTAGCGTGCCTTTTGTTCCTGGCTTTCTTGAATCAGCGAAAACAGAACACGCCGTGTATATTGTTGTGTGATAAGTTCAACTCTGTAACTTTAAAAACAATAGTCTGTTGGTTCTTCCTTTGATTTTCATTGCTTTTTTTTTTCTGGAATTGGTAAATAAACAGAATAAGGCATTTATAAGTTGGTCGCTTTAAGACTGTCAATAAGTTGTTGAAGGTATCGCCATACAGTCAAACCTTTTTATAAGAAACACTGATATAAGAGACAAATGGGTATAAGAGACTTTAGTATGCCTACAGTAAGATACGGGGAATAGGAAAATGCATACGAGGTCCCCTGCTTATAAGAGACGCCTCGTATAAAAGACAAAAATTGCTGCCTGGAGCATGCCTCTTATAAAGGGGTTTAACTGTACAGTCAAACCTCAATATATCGAACATGGATATATCGAATTGTTGCAGGAATTGTTGCAATATATCGTTGCAGGAAATTATAGTCTGTAATGAAGTTTGAAAAGTGCAATACATGTTGGTATATTTTTCAGTTACTCATCAGTTCTCGAAGTTAAGCAACTCTCTGCCCATCAAAATGATATAGTGGGAAGCTATCTATCCATATTGATAACTAGGATTTCAGTGTGGACTTAAGTTCCCGAATAGAGAATATATTATTCCTTTATTGCATCCTGCTTCTATCAAAAAGATCATTCGACGACCAGGGATCAAATTTACGACTTTTGACTATGTATAGCTTCTTGACCATAGTGGTTAAGAACACGTAAACTTTGTAGAGATCACCTAATATACCATTTGCTTCTGTTCGATTCATAACTTGCTGCTTCTCTTCTTTCTCTCTACTTCCAGAAAATCGCGCCTGCGCTTTCTTTATGGCAAATGGACAGACTACCTCAAGGCAGCACCCGTCGCCGAATATGAGGAGTACATGCAGACCCACAACTTCCGTGCCCCCGAACAGCCACCACTTGGCACCGCCAACTCAGCAAGTGCGGGAGCAAGTCCTGCACACACCCCCAAGCGCATGTACGCCAAGCTGAACAGTCTGACACGTTCCCTGACGGGAGGATCGCAGGGTGACGTCCCAGGACCTAAGGTGCGTGCTGCCTTGTCGACAATATTTAATGTGGCTTCTTCATGCTTGGCAGCAATTGGACGTCAACAAAAGTGTGTTAAGTGCTTTGCGGCCTCTATGTGCGCAAGCTTAGTAGACTTCTATAAAACTGTAGCACTTAGGCTTAACTATAGCACTGAGGTTTGTCTCCTCTATTCTTTGTCTTATCTTTTGCGTCGTTTCTTCAGCAAGGACATTTATAGTTTGTACTTATGGCACACATGTCACTGAACATTACGTGTGTATGTCATGTTCATTCAAAAGTTCTTAACGTTCTCATTGTGTTCTGGTGCAATTTGACATTAAGGACATTCTGTGAAGATATTAGGCAAACATCCTTTCAAAGCTTTAACTTTTTTGCATCGTCTCTGTGAGTAATTGTGTTTAATGGTTTTCTCGCATTAGGAAGGGCAAAAAGCTAGAGGAGCGAATTACTTTTTCATTTCAAAGGTGCCTCATGTCTCATATCACAAGTTTTGGTCACCAAGACGAACTTTTTACTTGCCGTTTTCAATTTTTTTCCTAACTTCGAATTGTGCAAAAATATGCTTTCAAGCGATTTGTTTTTTAAGGATCTTGTAACACTAGAATAACAGATTTTTTGTTCTCCATGTTTTCGTGTTGCAGAGTCCTGAACCCTGTGACCTTGATGACGGAGAGATTCCCAAGAGTGATTCGACGTACTCACTCGACATCCCAAATTCTCGTCTTCTTTGGCGAGTCACACCGCGACCAGAGTGTGCTGCCCAGGTATGTATTGTAGTAATGCCAACATCTGGACAAGTGCTTAAATAATTTCATTCTGTTAGAGACTGAGTGATGACTTGGTTTTGCCTAATTTTTAAAGAAATTTCTTTTTAATCCTACCAACATTCTTGTTGCAGTCTGTGTTGCCACAGTTGAGCAGAATAAGCTTGTGAAGCTACTCTCGCCTTCAAATTTCGGAAATTTTTGAGAAAGTATGAGTAGAGTGTATAGTTGCCGATAGAATTTCGGGATTTCTAAAATTCAGGCTTGTTGGATATTTTGGACTTCATAAATGCACCATCAAGGTCCTCATAGCACTGATGCATTCTTGCAACTGATTTTTCGGATAAAAATACGCCCTAAAGCTTGAGTTTTCCGACTAAATCGCTCGTTTTGAGCCATGCTGCTTGATTTTGAAAGCTGCCATGTTGTATTTCTCACTGTCTTAGTCCAGTTTGGCTTCCATTGGCCAGTTGTATTGCCTCTAAGATTGACAGCATGTACAGTCTACCAGTTTCGAAGCCCATGTCCAAAATTTCTTGGCTAGCATAATACATTGGGGGAGGGGGGTCTTATATATTATTATTATTGTTGTTGTTATTGTTATTGTGGTGTTGTTTGTCAGCATTATTGGCATCATTAACGCTATTGCAAGGTTGTTTTTTGTGTACGATGTTTTTTTCTTTTTACATTCTGCACGTGGTTGTGTTGGTGGTGTGTTCCTTCGTACGCATCGCAGCCTTCGTACGCATCGCATGTTCTCTGCTGTTGCGGTTGCCCAGTGGTTACAATACTCGTCTACTTACCAGAAACACACAGGTAGAGTAGTAGCCGCAGCGGTAGCATTTTGAGGGAGGTGAAAGTTCTGAGGCTCATGTACTGTAGGTGTTAGTATAGGCTAAAGGACCCCAAACTGTGTCGTTAAATCACACGAAATAGACGAGGCGTTGCATCCAGCTTTTTCTGGCGAGCATCAAGTTTTGCTTGCTTGGTGGCATGGAGCCACCAACTGCGCTGCCCGCAACGGTTGGCGGCAGTGATTGACAATGCATTGAAAATATTACCGTTTTCCAGTTACAACCAAATCTGCTAGTCCCCAAATGTAGCAGGAAGCAGTGGATTTTTGTGGGCTGTTGTAATCGAAATACACTTTATTTTCATGTCTTAATAACATTTTCGAACTGTTATATTTTTCTTACTGTTTTACAGTCCCCACCAAGTCCGGAAAATCGATCAGCGGCCATAAGTCATATTGAGTAGCAAATATATTTGCATGGAAAGGCATTGTTTGCACAGCCACTAATTGCAGCTTGTTGACCTTCTAGAAAATGTAAAGCGTATAGTACCAATCTCATACTTCATTATAAAAGTCACACCTACCACGAAATAACTTCGTTATATTGGAAAATTTGTTTTAAATATAGATTTATAACATTATGTCTATGACGAGACATTTCATAAGTTTGCTTCAATATAACTGATAATTTGTTATGTTTGTGTTATTATATTGAGCTTTGAGTGTAATTGTAACTGCGGCATTGCTTTCTGCAATAACACACATATTTTTCTCAATAACTACTGCAAAATTTATTATACATACACTGTGAGTTGGCACAAAGCCCCAAATTCAAGTTACCAGTCTTAACAAAATTTGTTGTGGGGAGGGCTGGTTTATGATTGGGGAGAAACGGACTCGGACACAAGAAAAATAGTGCGCTAAACAAGACATTATAAGGAAGTCGACATAGACTAGTACAATCATTGCACGTATCTAGGTTGCTTGTTTGCTTTTACACATTATTGAGTGCGTGCCTTGACAGTTACGTGCAGTTAACATAGTGTTGTGTGACTTCACTGACTATAGTCGCACACTTCTTGGAAAACGGCACCTACCGTAGGTCCATCACTGCGGCTGTAATCTTTGTTTGATGCAAGTGAGTTGTAGCTATGCACTGATGGGCTTTTCCATTCAAACTTTCATGCGCAGTATTACAACTTCACATTGTTTGCCATGGCGCTTAACGAGATGGAAGAAGGGATGGAGAAGGAGCTGCCCCGAACCGACTGCAGATTGCGGCCAGACATGCGACGGTTGGAGGCAGGAGATCTGGGTAAATTTATTTATTTTTGCTCTATTTAAAAAAGTATCATTAAAGCATTTGCGTATCAGTGAAATCACACTAGCAGTATAATGTACAGCTGTAGCCTTATGCATAGATGTTATTTTACTGCACTCTCTGCAGAAGTTTGTAAGGCTGGAGTTCTGGGATATCTGGCACACCGGGTAGCACGCACTGTTCCCATATTGATAGATGCTTGACCAGGCTTCCATGCATCACAAAAAAGGCTGCAGTTGTCGTCAATGTGCAGTGTCAGGCAGCAATAGAGCGAGGAAATAGAGCACCTGTACATTCGGCCATACAGCCAGACTAACATTTTGCTTGAATTGAAATTTGGAATTTTTTTTGCCTTGACATATTGCTGTTTGAAAAGGGTATTAACCCCTTTAAGGGGGGACGCGGCCCTTGAAAACCGAAAAATCGCGAAAAAGTCGGTTTTTGAAAAACCACATTTTTGGGTTGTATGTCTCATAAACTACCTATTCTGTAATTATCAGCACCTAATTCAACCGCAAAGTGCAAAAAAAATACTATTTTCGAGGCCGCCGCGGCGTCCAAAACAGGCGCAAATCCCGAAATCAAACCAAACTTCGCGCGCGCGCCATTCCCGGACCATGCGGTCGTCCCGCGCCATCTTGGTGTTTTGTTGTTTTGACCGTGAATTCTTTCTCTCTCGTTCGCCGCCTTGCAAAATGGCATCGGCAGCAGAGTTGAGACGCTATTGGCGTTTTCCCGCGATGCGGAGCGCTGATTGGCTAGAGCAGCGCATTCATATCTCGCGGGAGAAAGCGTGCCCGCCATTGGCTGCTGTGCAGCAGCGGGGGCGGTCGCTCCTCTCGATGGCGCGTCCAGCGCGCTCGCTTCGTTGTTGCTCTCTGCTCCGTCCGCCTCGACAGACGTCTGCTTACAAGCCGCTCTTCGCCTTGTGCTATCTTTTCGATCATTTTCTCTCGTTTTTTTTTTTCTTTTTGCACTAGTTCTGTGCCTTTCGTCTTTGTTGTTGCGGGCAATGCCGGCAACGAAGCCGAAGTCAGTGCGGAAGTCCGGTGCGCGGAGGCGCGCTATGCGGCTTGTACGATCATCGAAATTCCGCTATTCTGCTGCGGGTGCCGACTGCATAGACGCTTGCAACGACGGGACTGTGTTGTCGGCTATCGCCAGTCGAGAATCCGACACATCGAGTGTGGCTGGAGCCGCAAATGCACCGAGTGTTTCCGAGATCGTCGGGCTCGACACGTGCTCCGAATCGATGCCATCCAGTGTGACACCGAGTGCTTCTGATATCCCCGGACCCAGCACTTCGTCTGAATCGGTGCCATCGAGCGTGACACCGAGTGCTTCTGATATCGCCGGACCCAGCACTTCGTCTGAATCGGTGCCGCCATCGAGCGTGAGTGGACCGTCGCTTCATCTGCGGACGCGTTTCCTAACGAAGGAAGAAATCGATGCGAATGCGAAACGTCGTGACGCCGTTCGCGCTGAACTCGAGTCTACGCCGGCGACGCAGAAGAAATTTCAACTGATGCAGCCGGCTCTTGCACCTGCAGTGACAAGTGAGGGCGAACATTTTTCGCTCGTTCAAATGAACATCTTCAACGTCGTGCTCAGCCGCACAGTGTGCAAAGAATGTTTGAAAGGTGCTATGACTGTCCGAGAGAGCACCAAGCTTGGACTTGCAACAAAACTTGAAGTCGTGTGCGCCTCTTGTGGCACCGTCGATAAATTATGGACATCACCCCGCAAAAAGGACACGCAGGCCTTCGATGTAAATGTCCGCGCCATAATGCCTATAAAGCAAATATGCAAGGGGCAAACAGCTCTTAATGACTTTTGCGCTGCCATGAACGTCTCTTACAGAGGTCTTCACCACAAGACGTTTCAAAAGCACTTGAAAGAGACGTTCAGGAAGCCAGAGGCCACCGCTTTGGAGAAGTTTTATGCTGATTCTGCCACAGCAGTGATCAAAACATATAAAGAAATGGACCCCAGCTTCTGCAAGGACATCACCGTAGTGTACGATGGCACATGGCATAAGCGGGGTCACACATCATACATCGGAGTGGGATCGGTAATTGACTTCTTTACAGGTATCATCTTGGATGCTGTAGTTCTTTCAAACCACTGCCTTGGATGCCAAACAGCGTCCAAACCTGGAGATGCAGCATACGAAAGCTGGCAGAAGCACCACATTTGCCAGAAAAACACAGACGCAAAATCGGGAAGCATGGAAGTGGAAGCAGGCTTGACTCTCTTTGGGCGGTCTGTATCCAAGCATGGCCTGCGGTACACCACTCTTGTGTCCGACGGAGACAGCTGTACCTTCGCTGCCCTCACAGAAGAGAATGTGTACGGGCTAGTGCCAATTGTAAAAGAAGAATGTCTGAACCATGTTCAGAAAAGGATTGGAAGTGCTCTTCGAAACATTGTGCAGAAAAGTGATAAGCCACTGAGTGGGAAGGGGAAGCTGACTAAAGCCCTCATTGAAAAGCTGACAGGATATTATGGTTGGGCCCTGAGAAACAATTCAACTGACCTAACAGCCATGCAGCGTGCAGTGATGGCAACATATCACCACGTCACATCGACTGACCAGGACCCTCACCATGAACTTTGCCCAGAGGGGGCTCAATCGTGGTGCCGCCATAGAGCTGCAGAGGCAAAGCGTGAGCCACAGCCAAAACATAAACGCAGCCTACCGGACTATGTCGCTGCAGCTATGCTGCCCATCTACGAAAGACTGTCACAAAAGTCGCTTCTTCAGCGCTGCCTGGGAGCGAAGACGCAAAATGCATCAGAATCATTCCACTCCATTCTGTGGTCTCTGATGCCGAAGGAACAACACTCATCCTTGATCGCGGTAGAAACAGCACTGCATGAAGCAGTGCTGCGCTACAATGCCGGCTGCTGCAAAGCAACCCAAGTGATATCGGACTCCATTGGACTTCAACCAGGTCATCTGGCCATCCAGCGAGCTCGTGAAAAAAACGCTTTATGCCTAAAAAAGAATTCTAAAAGACACCAAGAGAAGATGAAGGCCAGGCAAAAGAAGAAAAGAGTGCGCCAGGACACTTCTAGCTACTGTGCTGGAGCTTTTTGAAGAAAACATGTGTTTTGAACTTTCTCGGCCTGTTTTCTCAGAACGGATTTTTTTGCTAGTTGTGGTGCTGAGGAAAGCAAGAACTCGAAAACCGTTCATCAGATTTGTGTGCCGTTTTTTTTATTCTGTTCCTGAATGACCTTGCAAGGGCGTAACAAGCTCCTTTTTTTGAAAATTGGTGCTGTTAATTTATAATAGACAATTAATTTTTGATGAATCTGGTCATTACTGGTTACATCAAATTCAAAGTTGCGTGAAAATTTTGGGGGGGGGGGGGGGGGATTAAAAAAAACAGCTTTGTAGCGCCCTGGGATAGCTATCAAGGAATGACCACAATGAATTTCAGCTTTCTACTATGTCCTGGGATTTCTCACGACTCTTCCTCAGGCAACCATGTGAAGCACCCAGTTAAACCTCAATAACTCTGGAACTAAGAAACACAGCTTCGTGAAACTTAGCAGTTGTGCTAGTTTTATTGTAGTGAACAACACCTGAAAGTTTCATCCAGATATCTTTCATCCAGATAACCTGAAAGTTCGGTCTCCAGGGTAGCCTCCCCCCTTAAGGGCTTATGACTACCTAAGCTCATAATGAGCAGTCACCACTTTTTTGCTTATGACGACCTGTGGTCGTCATGGGTCTTTTGCAAAGTTCCAGGAGGCTTTTGACGAGCGTAGCTCATCAAATGGTGGATTTCTCTTAACAACACAGATGGCAGCACGGGTTCCATCATTGGTGCTTTTGTTGAATGAGCGCTTGCGCACTTTTTGACGGAATGCGCACCTTGTGTTTCCCTCACGCCATGGAGGTTTTTAACGAGCCCAGCTCGAGAAATGGTCCTTTTCTATTTACACCATAGATTGCAGCACGAGTTTCGTCATAGGCGCTTTGGTTGAATGAGCGTTTGCGCAACAGTTGGCAGAATGGCATCGTGTTTCCTGCGCGTTTTGTAAATCAACATAGCCACATCCGCGTGGCATACTCGCACGGGAAATCTTTCTCCCTCAGATGAGGAAAGTGCGAGTGATGAGGATGTGGTTGTCGTGTTTGATTCTGCAAGTGAAAAAGATAGGGATGACGTTTTAACGGGCAGTGACTTTGAAGAGGCAAAAAGCAGCGATGATATGATGACCAGCGCCCGCGAAAGGTACCGGATAGACCCTGACAGCATTCCAGCCAGATATCTATGGCACAACACGAGCCAATCGCAAAGGCCTTTCTCGTGATTTCACCAAGGCAAAGCTCGAGAAAGGTGAAATGAATGCCTTTGAAAGGGGCAAATGTTCGCCTGTGCAGTGGATGGATAAAAAGCTGGTAATGGTTTTATCCACGGTGCACAGTGCTGAAATGGTGCCATTCACGAACAAAATGGGCAAACAAATCTTGAAGCCTGACGCTATCTTGGATTATAACCATACAATGGGAGGAGTCGACAGGGCAGATCAGATGATGTCTAGCTACTCAGTGCCCCGCAAGCAAAAAAAGATCTCATACAAGAAGATTTTACAACACTTCCTGGATGAAGCGACTTACAATTTATTCATCTTATATCGGAAAGAAGGAGGAGGAGCACCTCATCTGGATTATCGTCTCAAACTAATTGAGGCGATCATCACTAAGTACTTTCATGAGAGCAGTGCCTTGAAGAAAGAGCGGCCGGAATGTCTTCTGATCATGAAAAGGTTTGATGAGCGCCACTTTTCGTCTTATATACCAGCAACAGAGAAGAACCAAGAACCAACACGCCGCTGCGTAGTCTGCTACTTGAAGCGAGACGGAAATGGCAAAATCATTCGCAAGGAAACCAGGATCCGGTGCAGGTGGTGCGAGAAGGCTCTCTGCACAGTGCCGTGCTTCGAGCGTTAAAACACTAAGTGAACTATCAAGGAATAGT